ACACACACACACACACACACACACACACACACACACACACACACACATTCTCATGTAATCCAGGCTGGACTCAAATTACTTACACAGCAGAGGATGACCCTAAACTCCTGATCCCCCTGCTTCTCCCTTCCAAGTGTTGGTGTTATGGGCAGGTGCCATTAAAGCCCAGCTAAGGTCTTCAAATTATTCTGATAACACTTCAAATGAAAGACAGGCGTGGTGGCACATGCCTGAAATCCCAGCACTTGGGGAGGCAGGGGCAGGCAGATCTCTGTTAACAGTTTCAAGGCCAGCCTGGTCTACAAAGCAAGTCTAAAACAGCCAAAGCTGTACAGAAAAGCCCTGTCTCAAAAAACCAAAAAAGATTTCAAATGCAGTAGCATACATCTACAGAAATGTTTGGAAAGATCAGATAACTGTATGATTTCAAATTTTGCTAACCATGACCTAGAATAACTTTTATATAACTTTGTTACTAATATAAAAAGTGATTTTTAAATAGTGTTTATTGTTTGTTGTTGGTATACTGAAAGGCAAATGACCTGTACTTATTTAGATCTTCACCTAGCTTCTTGCTCAATATTAGTATTTTAATAAGAAAGTACATGATAAATAAAAGCTAGCAAGCACTTTGGATATTGTACAATAGCAATATTGTTTGTAAATTAATAACTATTTGGATTATTTCCTTCTAATTTCTTTTGTGTCTTTCTGTACTGGCTGGATTCTCTCATACATGGATGGATACTAAGAGTGAGTTTTAAAGACAGTACCTTTTACATTTTTGTGGTAAGAGATATTTCATCTAAGTCTTTGTTAGATATCTTTAATTAAGTTCTATTCTCATTTTTCTCACTGTCTTGCATAATCTTGTCTAATTTTTCCTACTTCTAATGAAATAATTATGTTTTTTCTCCTTTATACAGTTAATAGCATGAACAACACATTTTATGACAGACTTCTGAAATAACTGCTTCAGCAAATACATATATACTTTTTATTTTCCTGGCTTGCTGATATTTTATTTATGAATCTTAAACCTATGTTCACAAATAAGACCTGTCTTTAGCTTACTTTCTTATCCTATCCTTCTGTGATTTTGGACTCAAGACCATACTGACTGAAGAGTTTCCATTTCCGCTTTTCTCTGGGAGAGTTGTGTAATATCTGGAAAGGTCTATTAGTCGCTAATTTGGTAGAACCTACAAAAACATCTGGCCTGGTGTTTTCTTTATTGGAAAAATTTAACTCTTAATTCAATTTCTGCCATAGCTGTAGGAAAAAAAAAAAAAAACACTCAGGCTTTTTATTTTTTTTAAGTCAGCCCTGCTAAATTCTATTTTCCCTTAGAATTTGTCCCTGTGATAGTTTGAATCTGGAGTTCCCCACAAATGCCTATGAGTCGAAAGCTTGGTCACCAGCCTGCCATGCTACCGATAATGAAACTATCAAGGGCTTGCAGATAATTCACAAGATGGGGCCTAAGTGAAAAGAAGCGAGGTGGCTGGGGATGTAACCTTTGAGGGAAGACTAGGAACCTACCCCCTTTCTGTGTCTCTGCTTCCAAGCCAGGTCAGCAGGTCTCCTCTAGACTTTCTCCAGCTGCCACACTCTCACTGTGCTGCCTGCCATACACCCAAAGCAGCAGGCCCCAGTGACCATGTCTGCAGCTATGAGCTAAAATAAAGCCTTCTTCCCATTAAGTTGATCGTCTCAAGTATTCTGTTAATGGTAGGAGGCTAACACCAATAGCTCTGTTTATAATTTCAATTTACTGTCCCAACAGTTACTTTATGACTTTTGAATTTCTATAATGAGACTTACAACTTCCTTCCCCATTTAATGTTGTCCATTTATACTTGCTACTTTACTTAATCAGCTTTGCCAACGACTGTTCACTTCATTAGACTTCACAAAGAACCAATTTCTACACTTATTAATCTTCTGCTTTACCTTTCTTCTCTTAGATGCTCTCTGCTCTTGGCCTTGTTTCATCTTCTGCTTTCTTCAAATCTACTCTAATGTTCCTTTGATTTACTCAATAATTTTCAACCTTACTCGTTTTCTTTGGTAAGCACATAAGGCTATAAAAGTCCTAAATTCCATGTTGGCTGTCTTCCCACAGGACATGATTGATTGTGCTGGCTAGTCTTATGTCAACTTGACACAAGCTAGAGTCATCTGAAATGGGGGAACCTCAATGGAGAAAATGCTTCCATAAGATACAGATGTAAGGCATTTTCTTAATTAATGATTGATGGGGAGGGCCTAGCCCACTGTGGGTGGTTCCACCTGGGCTGGTGGTCCTGGGTTCTATAGGAGGGTGGGCTGAGCAAGCCAGTAAGCAGCTCCCTCCACGGCCTCTGCATCAGCTCTGCCTCCAGGTTCCTGCCTTGCCTGAGCTCCTGCCCTCACTGCCTTTGATGAATTGTTAATATGAAACTGTGAGTGAAAGAAACCCTTTCCTCCCCAACTTGCTTTTTCTCATGGTGTTTCACCACAGCAATAGAAACCATAAGACATTGATCTTTGGCATTTTTATTGCCATTCAGCTGAAAGTATTTTAAACTTCCACTATGATTTCAAAGTGTAACTTAATGTTTCCAAAGGCATGGTAATTTTCTTTAAAATATTTGTTTTATTATTAGCTTCTACATTTGTCATAGCAATACCACGGTCAAAGAAGTGTTCCATTTCACACTGATGCTCTGAACTTTGAAAGCTTTATAGCTCACATCATAAACAATTTTCCTATTGGTAAATCAATAAGGAAAATACCCTAAAGTTAAATTTTCAAATGGGCAAAACACAGTCAACATGTAAAAAAAAGTAAATCTTAATGTCTCACAGGCAAATGAAAAGATACCTACCTTCACCCAGAATAAAAGAAGTACAGACTAAAAAGTATTTTCTTTCCCTAATAGGATTTCAAAGATTAGGAAAAAAAAAAAAAGTGGGTTTGGGAGACGGTTCAGTTGGTAAAGTTTGGATTCTACCACCCATATCGAGCTGAGTATACAAGCCCAGTGCAGAGAATGGGGCAGGGAAGCAGATCCCCAAAGGTCACTGACCAGTCAGCTAAGACCAATCAATGAGTTTCCGGTTCAAAACATAAAAGAATTAAGGAAAACACCCAAGTCCAACCTCTGGACTCTTGAGCACACGCACACACACATATACAAACTGACCCCACTACTCTGTCATGGTGAAAGTGTAAGGAAACAGAAAATATAAAATGCTCATGAATGGATGAACTTATGATAATTATGAAGAGAAAGTCAATAATATCTATTAAAATATCTAATATATACATAGGTTTATTCTGAGAGTTCACTTTTAGGAATTTCTTTTAGAGATACTCACTCAAGATTATATGCAGATTTATATTTAGAAATTATATGCAGAATAATTGAGATGTTCATCACATCTCAAACAGCTATCAACAAGATGCTAGCCAAATAACTACAACTATAAAATGGAATAGCAAGCAGCCCTTTTTCCTAAAGAATAAAAATATGCTTTGGTGCAACACATGAGAAGAAATTCAAACTATAGGTTAAATAAAATATTTAAAGGAAAGAATTCTACCATAATTTGTGTTTTTAAAAAACAATAAAAAAATATATATGTATACACACCTTGTATATGCACATAGAAGTTTATTCAAGAAACTGATAAAATCAGTTGGTCCTAAAGAAAAGATGTGGCTGGTTGTTGGATGATGGCAGGGATGGGGAGGGCAAGAGAGACTGTAGGTTTTAATGTACACTTTATAAACTATGTAGCAACTGTGTAAAATTCATGTTTTGCAACAGTTTACTATTTAGGGCCTAGAGGAACCCAGGAAATCACACATGCTATTCCACATCCAGCCTATAAACAACTTTTTAATTGAAATTTTGGTTTTGTTTTTTTTTTTTTTTTTTTTTTTTTTGGTGTTTTGCCTGCACATGTCTGTGTACCACTTGTGTGCCTGGTGCCCATACAGCTCAAAGAGAGCCCTGGATCCCTGAGGCTGGAGTTACAGGTGGTTGTGAGCTGCCATACAAGGGCTGAGAATTGTGCCTGGCTGCTCTGGAAGTGCAGCTGGTGCTATGAACTGCTAAGCCATCCCTCTATCCCAGAACAATTTCAAATGAGCTTGATTAAATAAGGTGGTGTCATCATGGAAATGGCAGTCTGTCACTACAAAGGACTATGGAAAATAAACGCCGTAAACATGACTTGATGGATGCTGGAGAGATGGCTCAGAGGTTGAGAGCACTGGCTGTTCTTCCAGAGGTCCTGAGTTCAATTCCCAGCAACCACATGGTGGTTCATAACCATGAACCACCATCCGGTGCCCTCTTCAGGTCTACAGGCACACATGCAGGCCTAATACTGTATCAATATTAAATAAATAAATTTTAAAAAAATGACTTCATGTCTAATTACTGAAAAAGCCTACCCATGAAATAAAATTTCTTGTGATTATATGACCTGAAAGCATACCTTGTTCAATTTGAAGTCTTCCAGTGGACTGCATAAATCCAATCCCATTGTCGGCTATACACTGATACAGCCCAGAATCTTCCATGGTAACCCCAGTGATCTTCAGTCCATTCCCTTCGGTTAGATGCCGCGAGGAGGGGTGAATAGGCTGTGCATTATGAAACCAGGTACGGTTGGGAGCTGGGTTCCCATGAACATCACAGGTGAAATGTACGGTGGCTCCCAGAGACACCTTCTGATCATGTAGTCCTTTAGAAATTGATGCATGCTCTGAAAGTAAAGCAGGCATGTGTAACTACTGCACAAGTCACGGAGAATCTGTCTCTAGCACTGAGTAATGAAATCTCTGTATTCTTCACTAATATCCTTCCATTTGCTGTAGTCATCAAGAAATACTGAAAAACCTACTTTTAACTTTCACCAGCAGAATAAATGTGTAAATACTAGTCAGAGTCTTCTTTTTCATATTAATCCACCCACTTTAGACCCCAACACCTGTGAATACACATGCATGCACACATACATCAAACGCTCCCTGGTTGGCATGTAGTTAGGATGAAGAACAGGTTATGCCAAATGTTCTATGCAACACAGAGATACAGCCCATTCAGCATCCCTTTACAGAAATGATCCCTGTTCTGGCTAGTGGTGTGGATGTTTCTTGACAGCCTGTGTCTCATTTTTAGCTCACAAATATCCTTCAAACATCAGTTGGGCCAGGAAAATGGCCCAATTTAGAATGAAACCTTCATCATGAATAGGTAAGGCCTTACCCAGCACATTAACCACGTAAGTGGCGTGTTTGATATCTCCGGACTTGTTGCCCACCACACAGGAATAGTTCCCAGAGTCCACTGGGTCGATGCTAGTCGTGACAAGATGAGAGTACAGCCTCCTCCAGTTGCTTCCTGACACAGCGTCCTGACCATCCTTCAGCCAGTACACTCGTGAGGCTGGGACGCCACTCACCACACACTCCAAGGTAACAGGGCTGTGAGGAAGGACAGCTAACTCCTGAGAGAGAGCAGGGTGAAGAATGTGAAACCCATCTGAAGAAGGACCTGGAAAAAGAAAGGAACACAAAATAGTATTAGAAATGGCACACTTAGACCCTCTCCCTTAGCCGAGCTGTGTCTATCCCGGGAGCAGCTTCCATTTCTCCTTCATGTGACGAGGCCCTACACAAAATATTTTTTTCTCTGAGAGTCAAAATAAAAATACTTACTGATTTTTTTTGAAGATTTTTCTAAATTTTGGAAACGTAGGGTTTTTTAAGCCTAAAGCCACCTAGCCCTTTATTATGTTCTTCCCCAGCTCAACATCCATAATCCATAACTCAGACATGATTTTTGTCGTATCTGATAAAAAGCCCATTATCTCTTGATTTCATACTCCAAAAGTTAACCACCAATCTGCTTATCGTGGTTGTAAAATTGTTGTTTAAAAAGAAAAAAAAACGTTTCAATGGGGGCTGGAGAGGTGGCTCTGCAGTTAAGAGCACTTGCTGCTCTTGCAGAGGCTCCAGGTTCATTTCCCAGCACCCACATGGTGGCTCACAACCATCCACAAATGAAGTACCAGTGGACCGGATTCGCTCCTTAGGCACCAGGCACAGAATGCAATACATATATGCAAGCAAACCTCTCATACACACAAAATATGTAAGTATTTAAAAACTAAAAACAAAACAAAACAAAAAAAAACAGGTACAGTACTACCCTGTAACATATTGATAAACAGA